CAGAAGCAGCAATTTATGTTCAGCTGAATGAGGAAAAGTATAGTACATTCAATGGACCCATCAAAGCTGATTCATTTGAATCCCCAACGAAGTCATCACAGAAAGAATTCCATTATGTTTCCCCAGTTGAGGACCCTGACACAAATTCTCGAGACAACTGGAGGAATAAAGAAAAATCTTCAATGTATTGTATGGATACTAAAAACTTTTATACAGATGTTTATAAAGAAAAAGAATCTGATGATCGTGAAGTAAAGCTACATCAAGTCGGTGACTCTCAAAGTGCAAGTGCAATTAAGGGGGATGTGATACATGTCCGGAAAAATTCTTGTCTTGATTCGATAATACACGTACTATGGTATGCAGCTGAATGTAATACCAATTATTTGATATTAATGAGATATCCCACCACCGAAAATGCCACATTCAAATTAATTGCTCAGCTAGTTGATAATGAAAATCTGCAATCAACAAATGAGCACCGAGCTCTTGTCTCACCTTCTTTCGTTGAGACACAAATTTATCATATCAGCCCCAGCATCGATTCAGAAATATCGGCAATTGATTTGACTACTAGTGGGACATCTGCTAAAGTTTGGAAAGCATGTTTTGACAGTGAACCCAGTGCACAGAAGCTGTATAACTGTAATATTTGCGGAGAATACGTTGAAAATATCGCAGTACTGTATCCCAATTTTTTCAACCGTTCCCAAAAATGCATTGACTTGCAGAAAGCTCTACATTTCTGTAAATACTTGAAGAAAGTTCGATTTATTAAGGAATCATGTCCAGGAAAATGCGTAGTGACCACTTCGTCGAATTTTCATCTCTTCATTGACATCTCTCAATCTTCAATGTGCCTGATCGACGAAATACCTACAGTGATATGCCGGGAATTCAATTACAGGTAGAGTATATATATTTAATTATTTTTATGGAAGAGCGGAATAGAAAAAACACTGCCCATAATTAAATTCACACGAATGAAGGTATTTGATTCAAGTCTTCTGTGAAAACATACAAAAATTTAAAAAATAAACGTTCGAAATACATTGATATGAAGTTTCGTCAGTTTTTCAATAGAACTATCAGTACAATTGTAATTTCATTACTTACGCAACTTAGTCTTATCACTTACGTTTTATTTTACATTGTTTCATACCGCCTACGAATCTCATACAATTCGTTCCTAATTAACAAACAATAATATTCTAACAATTCGTTTCCAACAGATTAGCTGGAATAATTAGTCGTCTCGGAGATCGATATGTTGCCTACTGTTCAGCGCTACAAAATTGGTTATTGTACGATGGTTATCACAAAGTAACTAAAACAATAGTTGGCTGTGAACAAATTCGTCCTTCCGGACTTATTTACGTACTGCAAGATGAAACCAAAACCTTAGTTTAATAATCTTAGTTGAAGACGGTTAATTGATGTTAACTCTTATTACGATGTGAGATGGTTTAACTCCTGTTAACCATTATTAGAGTCAGACAGGACGTATTCATGGTACGTTCATACTAAATATACACGTATATATTATATTCGTCGATGATAATACTTTTATATCGACCTTATTATGCACATGTAAAACTTCGAAACACGAGAAAATAAAAATAATTAATGACTATGTGAATGCGAGTATATTCCCACAATTGGTAGAATTGGCTTTTTTTATCATTTTAAATAATTGAACCCTCTTATAAAGTTGAATAAGCATCACAAGTCATAAGGTTGAATGCGGTTTTACGGGAATATTTATGAAACTAATGATAAGGAAAAGAAAAATTCATACAACTAAGCAATTAACTAAAATTCTCGTCGACTTCCTTGGTCGATCGTTTTCAGCTCTGCGAAATAAGTCAACAGAGACATTTTCTATAGATCTCTTAATTTTTATAATATTCTGGAAAATCTGATTTTTCACCCATTATCAGTCCCCCTTTTTTATTTAAGAGGGTTCCACTATTTACAATTATACAAAAAAGTTCCTCTTAGTAATATCTCGGACGAAAAATCGGGGGTATCTGGCAACTCTAATAGACTCCGCGGGGAATTCACAAAAATTATTCAAAAGAAAAAATGCATAAATTTATTCTAGAAAAAAGAATGATGACAATAAAACGGAATTCATATTTACTCGAGCCTGCCTTTCCTGTGTATCCACACGAAATTAAATTTCAACGTCCATATTCTGTGAGATAAATTATCCATTGGTCATAAGTTTAATCCCCGTGTACCTGCAAAAAATACTTATTAGAATAAAGTAATATAAACTT